AGAGCATCTGCAATCCCAACATTGCAAAGATGATGGTCCTGCTCACGCGGAGCTGGTTGCAAGATCGAGGAGGTCGATTAAGCTAGCAGCGTTCTGTCTGTTGATCTTATCATTTTATTAAACAGTTCGGTTTTATATCTGCAGACGTTGCTCATTTTGTTTCCAATTAGGCTTGAACATGCCTGATTTTGGATAATATGCATCTGAATTTTGTATTATTTCTTGATATCTGATGCAGCATGCAGAATTGGTAACGTTCTCTCTAGAATTTGCATGGTACTGTCTACAGAAAGTGCATTTTGACTTTTAGCTTCCTCATTCTAATATTGCCAATTTTCTTGTAAATGGCAACATTTGCTCAAACCATGTAGTCAATTATACCATATTGGACCGCAGCAATTTTTGAACGGAACGCAGTTACATCATTAAACAAATGTCACAACTTTATTATTAATAATATTGATTTTAGAAAAAGACAACCCAATGCAATCATACCTCATCACATAAAGAAGCATGTTCCAATCCAGTGTTGCTTGAAAGGGCAAAAGTTCCCACATGCCTAACGTGCACATATTATAATATCCAAAGTACAAACCAGTACATAACTGTGCAAACTAATATATGGCAGAAGCACGACTAATTAACCGACATTTCAAATAAGATTTCAATGGCAAATAACGGTACAATAGACGAGTAGGACCTAAAATCATATCACTCGGTGCCACAAGCACCCAACATAACATAATAAGTTCTGTTCCAATAATTACATCATTGTTCGAGCAAAGTCAGTGAACGATGATGCACCATCCATGACAACCCCCAACGTCATTTCACCAAGTACGTCTTTAAGACAACATGAGATCCTTGCTCCCATGGGAAGGGCGAAAACAAACACGAACTTCATGTTCTTCTGGTCCTTCACGCAGCTTGGGTACCAAAATCTCGAGCACAGTTCCTGGTCCATCATAATATGCTTCTATATGAGCATCTTCGGGAATTCGGGTTGAAAGTGAAATTTCTCTAACAAATTCTCCAGGGGGACAGTGCTCTGAAGATGGATCTGAAAGCTTGAAAGTCCTGCTATGTCTCTTGATAAATTGCACACGAGATGTACTTACACAAGACACCTTGATGATTCCATGTGTTAGCGTGTTCCTCCAGGACACTTTTACCCTCTGAAGATCTACAAAGGGCAAGCTCATTACGATCAGAAAACCTTGTTCATCCTCGTAGATTGTTTTGGCAGCCGTAACGGGTCCATAAATATTCTTCAGCACCCCATTAAACTCATTCAGCCAGTGTGGTCCATTTGGGTGAACTTCCAAATCAGGGAATCGATCAGATGGCGGATTCACAGCCAAAAGATAACCATCATTGTCATTTCCCTCTGAAAAGAAATCCTTCTTCCTTTTGCAACTGCCTGGTGATAGATCCATTGCATCCCCATTGATATGGTTAGATGGTTGAGTAGACAGATTTAGCACGGATCCATTTAGCAATTTCTTTGGGTGCGAATTAGGATTACTCTTAATTGGAGGAGGTGGCTTTTCAAGTTCAAACTCCGCATTTGGTTGATTTCTCCATGAACTGTAATCGCTTGCTTCCAGTGGAATGGAGAAGTTTATATCCCTTCCAGTGAGTTCGGTCCATCTTTTTCGATCGTCTTCATCAAGAACCATGAGATTGGGTGATGCAACCATCTCAATTCCATGAACACACTGAGGATTCGAGAGCCCCCTGTAATGTTTCCTTTGCATCCTATGAGACCGAACAAAACCCTTATCAGCACTGAAAGGAAATGGACGCTCTCCTTGACGAGAATGACCATTCATATAACTTCTGAGCTGCATCTTACCCAAAGCATTCTCAGGCCTTTCCTTAAAAACCCACATGTACATATTCTCCATATCATGCTGAACCATAAAAACATCAGTCTTGAGATCGGATTTATCATACCCATAAACTCCATTACCATCACGTATGATCTTCGCTTTTGATTTGTCATTCAGTACTGGCTTAAAGTAAAAGCTGAAGAAGAACCAAGCTCCCCAGATGCTATCAATCCTTTTCACACACTTCCTCCCAACTTTAGGAACACTAAGAAAACTTTCAGTCTCGTACATTTGGGAGCCTAATCCAACATCAAGAATATCACAGTGTTCAGGGTTCCAAGGCTGCTGCAGAGGGGGGCTTCGATCGACTGAAAGGGGTAAATTGATATCCGGTGGACGGGTTAAAACAACTGGGCCATACATCTCGAGGTCTAATTCATCGTGTGAAGATGAGGCACTTGAATCCATAGACAAGTGGGTCGAAGGGTGATGATTCTCCATTGACATTGTGAGAAGAATGTCTCCCATCTCATAGACTATTCCTTAATGTTAGAACAATTTCTGAAGGTGGGTCTACAAATCTCACCTGAATAACCATTTTGACAAATAACCAATTTTTAAAAACACCTCCATCAAATCAGTCCCATCTACAAATCTCCACCATCAACCCTTAA